AAAAAAAAAAAAAAAAAAGTAAATGGATACAAACGTCAATCAGTGGGTTTGAAGACTCTATGAGAAAGAATAAAAGTGTTTATGATTGCACTCCATGGAGACATAGCAAATGAAAGACTCCTAATTATGGCAACAGCTACTGATGATGTTTTGCTTTTGGTTTTTTTTTTTTTTTTTTTATTGTAGAGATGAGGTCTCATCAAGTTGCCCGGGCAGGTCTCAATCCACAGGCTCAGACAATCCACTCACCTCAGCCTCCCAAGGCACGGGATTACAGGCTGAGCCACCGAGCCCGCTGATATTTTGCTTTTGAGAAGACTTTGTGAAGCATAGAAACCTTTTAACCTGAACCAATCAGGTGTAAGTCTACCTTTCCCAAGGAGTTTATTATCTAGTTTTAGAAGATAGCACTGTATTAGTTAGGTTTGCCAATAGAGACATACGCCTCAAAATATCAAGGGCTTAGAAAATAGAAATTTATTTCTATTTGTATTAAACTATGTGATCCTGTACTGATATGGAAGATCCATGGTCATCAGGACCCCATGCTCTTTCTTATGCTCCATTGTCCTCAACATGCAATTTTCACCTCATGATATAAGACAGCTACTCCAGCGCCAACCATCACATCAACATTCTAGTCACCAGGCTAAAGGAAAAGGATATGACAAGTCTCATTAAGGACATTTCCTAGAAGCTGTATTTGCCTTCTGTTATGTTCAGTTGGCCAGAAAACAGTCACATGACTACATCAACCTACAAGAGAGGGTGAAAAATACAGTCTTTATTCTGGCTGACCAGAGGTCCAGGGAACCTGCAGGGAGTCAGTTACTCCAGCAAGAAGGGGAAAGTAGATATTTGAGAAAAATAGCAAAACCATATTCAGAAAAAAAAAATACTAACTTTTTTGGGCAGTGTATTTCCACACAAATGTCTTAAAATCTTAAAATAGGGAGAGGGATTACTTAAAATATCCCCCTACCCTTCTGAGTGTCTTGATTATGCTGGGGTATTCAATATATGAAACAAAATGAGGCTGCTGTCTGGTCCTTTACATTTAAGAATAAACTTTAGTGAATTGTGGGCCTATCCAGAAATAATGATTCTTTTGTTTTATTATTTATCCCTAACCAATACAAGCCTCTCTGCTTACACAAAGATTTCTTGATTATTAACTTCATGGTGAAAGTAAGTCTCATACATGATGCTTCAACTGTGTACTGACTTTAAGGCTGAAATGGCTGTTAGTGACCTAACCAAGGTAACTCTATTTTGTAGTAGTTCTTCCATTTTGTCTCTCAGCCCTCCTCCATGTGATCACCCTAACCTACAGTATGCCATAAATCATGTCCCACGATTTATGACTTTTCTGTTCCCTCCCCTAGAGGGCTATAACATTACTGAAACAGTTCTATTATACTATGTAATTTACACTTCCTTCCTATGGTTTTAATGACCTGTACTTTGAAAAATCTCCTTTCTTCCCTACCCAGAACCGAAACTCTGTAACCTTATGGTTTTTACTATATAAACACCTTGCTTGATGCGGGGTCAAGAGTCTCTTTCTGGTGTGAGCCTGCTCTCGACCACCAGCATTAAAGGACTCAATATTTGACTCTCAATGTGTTGATGACTCCTTACTCATGGTGCAGTTATTACAAGGCAAGACACATGACTAACACCCACTATTTATAGAGTCTATGGGATTCAACCCTCAAAAGGACCTACAAAGGAGCCCTAGGGATCAGAGAGGGCTGGTTGGGCACCATGACTCATGCCTGGAATCCCAATATTTAGGGAGGCCAAGCCAGGAGAATTGCTTGAGGCCAGGAGTTTGAGACCAGCCTGGGTAACAAAGCAAAACCTGTTTCTAAAAATGTATATATATGTATATATATATATGAAAAAGAAAGCAAAAGGGATCAGAGAGGACAAAAGAGACTCCTCAGCTTAATACAGCTTAATAAGTGACAGAGCTGGGATTGCAGCACAAATTGGCCTGTTTTCAGAGCCCATGTGTGCTGTTTATTATGCCATTCTGAAGGATTCACCTATTTTCTGCTCTTCCACAAAATTTTAGAATAGGGAGGCAATCACCTATATGTAGCACTGAGAAGCTTCTATGAGCTTTAATTTAAATCTTATCTATTTATTTACTTATTTATTTTGAGAGGAGGTCTTGCTCTGTCACCCAGGCTGGAGTACAGTGGCACCATCATAGTTCACCGTAACTTTGAACTCCTGGGATCCTGTAGTCCTCCCATCTCAGCCTTCTGAGTAGCTGGCAGGAGCTGACATGTGAGCCACCACATTCAGCTAAGTTAAGAAACCTTTGTTTTGGGGGGGTGGGAGTGTAGAGATGGAGTCTCGCTGTGTTGCCCAGGCTGGTCTCAAACTCCTGGCCTTAAGCAATCTTCTCACCTTGGCCTCCCAAAATGCTTGGATGATAGATGTGAGCCATGACTGGCCCAAATTTAAAACAAATAGAAATAAACTTTAACATATTTCTTCATTTTAATATGATTGTTTTGTGCTCAGTCTCTCTTTTAATTGTCCAACCCAGTTTGGTGATTATCCATTCAATTCTTGAACAGTCTTTTTATGTGCCAGGAGCTGAGATGGCGGCTGAGTATATTGTGGTGAATCTACCACACATAGTCCTTACCACTGTGCTACATGTCTTCACGGTTAGATGGGCTAAACCAGGAACTATGAAGACTCAACTCTCATCCTTAACATAATTTTGAGCCTAAGGTTCTTCAAATATCATTTTCAAACATATGGCAAAGGGTATATACATTTTTTTGCATATGTCTCTTCGTTTTGTGAATTTTGAAAGGATGTGGTTGTGGCCTTTGACATCAGAGGAACAGCTCCGCGATGTTGGCTGAATGTTGATAGAAAGATAAGGTTGGAGGCAAGTTGCCTTTGAGCAGCTCTCTGGAGATCAACTGCCTGCCTGGTGCCTTCTTTGCCCCAAAACTGTTTCCTCTGGTCGTGCCAAGGCCGATGCCCAAGGCGCGTCACTTTTCAAGAACTGGATCATGAACAACTTGATCCTCCTGGAAGAACAGCTCATCAAGAAATCCCAGCAGAAGAGGAGAACTTCTCCCTCGAACTTTAAAGTCCGCTTCTTTGTTTTAACCAAAGCCAGCCTGGCATACTTTGAGGATCGGCATGGGGTATGTGAGCAATTTCTTGTCTTTTTTCATATGGTATTTTATATTTGGAAGGGCTGACTCAAAAAGATACACATGGGGTACAATAGAGCACAAACATGATGACTATAACCACCTAAAAAGTACAGAAAGAATAGTAGAAGGAGAAGGGAATGCAGAGAGAAGTAAAGAAATGAAAGGGTAGTATTAGGTGATTTCAGTTCTAAAAACTATAACATTCATCAGCTTTCTTCCCCTTGCAGGATTCAGCTTAATTTTTACTTTATCAATAATATTTAAGTAGCAAATATTATGATTAAATAGAACTTGAACGTCATATGAAATACACTAAGTTTTATGGAACACAGATTAATAAAATATTAGCACTCGATAGGATAATCTAGTCCAGCTTCCTTATTTTTTAGTGGTATTTAGAATGTTTAAGTGATGGGTCCAGTGTTAACACTGTTATGAATTCATTTCTGTTTGTCTCATTAGTCATTACTCATCTGACATTTGGGATAATATTTTCCAGGTATTTAATTGTCTAAAAGTTGTAAGGTACAATGGCAAACTTCCTCAAGTCTATGAAAAGCTTCTCAGGAAAGTAGGGTTGTCAAGCACAAAATATTCTATGGTACAGGCCGGTGGTTCTTATCCAGAAGATTATGGCCCCTTAGCTAGGTCAGCCTTTATATGTAAAGATAATCTCCTATGTAACACCAGTAATAACAAAAGCAATATGAATAATCCTAATAAAGTAGTTTGGTTTGAAAAACACCAGACAAAGGCTCAGGAGACCAAACTCTATGCCTCTGATCCTTTCTTCATAAAAAGTAAAAACTGGTAGCTGGACACAGTGGCTCATGCTTGTCATCCCAGCACTTTGGGAGACCAAGGCGAGAAAATTGCCTGAACTCAGGGGTTTGAAGGCCATCCTGGGCAACTTGGCGAGACCTCGTCTCTACAATAAATCAAAAAATTAGCCTGACATGGAGGTGCGCACCTGTAGTTCCAGCTACTTAGAAGGCTGAGGGAGAAGGCTCTGCAGGTCAAGGTTGTGGTGGCTGTGAGTGTGTACCACCACACTCCAGCCTGGACAACAGAGTGAGATTTTGACTCAAAAAAAAAAAAAGAAAAAGAAAAAAAGGAAATAACAATCTAAAAGATCCTTTTCTTCTTCAAAACTTTTCAAAGCATGTTAGATTGCTTAGTATATCACTGTATTATGTTTACATCATTAGGGAGATAGGACAGGGATTATCACTTATATTTTATGAAGGGGAAATAATATGAGGGGCTTAATGGTCACAGGTGCTCTGATTCTTTGATGGACTCTGATTTAGTAGGTATAGGCATGAGTCTGGAGACTTGGGAGAGTCAGGCTTTGAAGCATTCTATGGAGTTCCAAATGCCGTCAGGCCTGGACTTTTTAAGTTGCAGGTGAAATAAAGCTATCTCTTTTTTTTGAGACAGTGTTGCCCAGGCTAGAGTACAAGAACAGGATCACAGCTCACCGTAGCCTTGATCTCCTGGGCTCAGGCAATCCTTCCATCTCAGCCTCCTGAGTGGCTGGGACTACAGGCACGTGCTACCACGACCTGCTAATTTTTATTTTATTTTATTATTTGTGAGACGAGGTCTTGCTATGTTGCCTAGGCCAATCTTGAACTCCTGGGCTCAAGTAATCCTCCCACCTTGATCTCCCAAAGTGCTGGGAGAATAGGCTTGAGCCATCAAGCCTGGTCAATGCGATCTCTTTAGAGGTTAAAAGAATTGCTCATCTTCAGAAGACTCTTAAGGATGACAATTTACCAATCAACCAAAAAGCACATGGAATGATGTGCAAGGCCACTTGGTAGGTGGTCAGGAGCCAAGTTTTCAACTCTGGGGAATTAATCACATAGAACCAATAAATCTCGTGGCATTAGCTAATTATCTTGTGAACGGGACATTTAAAGTTTTCGTTTCCTATTGAAAGAACAGTCATGTGCTATTAGTTATTTGTTTCAAAGCCCATTGATGGTTTTCACCAATTTGTTTTCCTGACATAGTATGTCTCACTTAATTAGCACTGATGACTCCAGGGCAGCATTGTTGTTGGGGAACAGTTTGATTGCAAATTTAGTACAATATTGTTTGCCAATAATCACAAAAACTGATTGTCTTGATTTAAAATTTTATTGGTTATAATTTGTATGTAGACAATGTTATAAAAACACTCCACTTCTTTATTTGTGCATTATGTAAAATTCCAAAACAATCAACTATAGTTTCTAATATTTCCATGTAGGATATAGGGAATATATGCCCAATCATCAAATCTCTTGTTTTCTAATGCCCATGACTTACATTGATAACTAACATTTTAAAAGATTTTTTAGCCGGGCTCGGTGGCTCAGCCTGTAATCCTGCGCCTTTGGGAGGCTGAGGTGAGTGAATTGCCTGAGCCCGCAGATTCGAGACCCGCCTGGGCAGCGAGACCTCATCTCTACAGTAAATCAAAAAATCAGCCGGGCGTGGTGGTGCATGCCTGTAAGTCCAGCTACTCGGAAGGCTGAGGCGGAAGGATCGCCGGAGCCCGGCAGGTCGAGGCTGCGGTGGCCGGGAGCGGCCGCTGCACTCCAATCTGGGTGACAGAGTGAGACTCCAACTCAAAAAAAAAAAAAAATTTTTTTTTAATATTGTAGACCTGTATTGATTAGAAATTTATCCAAGGTTACTGAGAAAGGCAAGATATTTGAGTTATTATTGTTTATGCCTTATGTATATTTACACGGTTTAGGGACACCTATTTGCACACAAGAGAGCACTGTACATTACTCATAAGTAAATAGCATTACATTTGTGGGAAGAGACTTTTCATTTTTAAATTAAAGCCCCAGTTTTCCCACCTGTAAAATGGGTGTGATAATAGTACCCATTTCATGGGAAGATGGCAAAGACTTGGAGAAATCATGTATTTAGGTTGAACTATTTGAAAATATCATTTGGCATATCAAAAACAGTCAGATATTGACAATTTCATATAGTTTAATTTAATATATAAAGTACTTGGGGCTGGGTGCAGTGACTCCTGCCAATAATCCCATTGCTTTGGGAGGTCAAGGCAGGAGGATCACTTGAGGCCAGGAGTTTGAAAGAAGCCTGGGCAACAGAATGAGAGAGATCCCATCTCTGGTGGCATACGCCTGTAATCCTAGCTACTCGGGAGGCTGAGGCAGGAGGATTGCCCAAGCACAGGAAGTGGAGGCACAGTGAGCCATGATTGCACCACTGCACTCCAGCTTGGGTGACAGAGCAAGACCCTGTCTCTAAAAATAAATTTTAAAAAATAATAAAGCACTTAGCATAGGTCTTGTCACCTAGAAAGCACCAGGTAAAAATTAGCCATTATCTGTATCCTCTTCATATCTCTGAAACAACTAGAAGGGTGGCATAACAATTCATTTTCAAATCAAAGGAGGTAAAAAGATTTTTCAAAGTCAGGCTAAGACAGGGTCCTAGATCCCTTCTATTCTGTGACTAAATACAGGTTTGTGGAGAGATACACACATCACAAGCAGAGAGATGCTGGGCCAGCCAGCACCCCTCTTGGGGTGCCAGAGTTTCTTTTTCTCTTGTCTCATTTGTAAAATTATGTTTCTTGCAGTTCTAATGTTCCGTGAACTTACACCACTATATGAAAAAAAAAAACACCCTTCCACATACTCAGAAACAAATGTTGCAGTTTGGCAAATTAAGTATGTTTCTTCTAACTTTAAATAGCCGTGCCTATTGTCATTTTAATACTAACTGAAGGAGTCTTTTACTTAAACATGGATTTTGTCCTGGGGTCTCAAAGCTGTTTTCCCTGTTGAGACTTACAAGTGTTTTCAGAGTGACCAAAGGCTCCTGCATCCTGCTGGAGACCTGCTCCAGGAAGAAGGGTATGGTTGGCGGGTAGTGGTTCGCAGGCAGATTTCAGATACTCCCCTGTGCCTGCCTTTTTTTTTCCCTCCAAAACAGTTCCTGATGCCTGACAGAGGACAATAAGAGACAAGGCCCCTTAGGCATGCTGGGAAATATTTAAGCTGTGATAGGGGAAGAGAGGGTGTTGAGAAGTTTGGATTCACAGTGTTTGCCAATTTCTCTGGTGTCAATATTACCATCATGGTCCACTTTGAACTACCAATGTGATGTCCACTGGTTCACAATTTCCCGACAATTTAACGATTGCTCTCATGGGCCAGTGCAAGCTGGGTCCAGCAGACCATTGGGCAACTTAAGGGCAAGTTATCTCTGGAGAGGCAGTCACTGATTGGGCAGCATACTTAGTACACACGGCTGATGTACTAAGGTCCTTTTAGGGAAATGAAGGGCCTCAGGCACTAGATTAAGCACAGAATGGAAGAGGCAGCCCGGGTAGAAATAAGCATCACAGGTGGGTGAGGCCTGTGAGGCCACCTGGAGCTGGATTCAAATCCTGCCTCTCTCACTTTCTAGATATGGGATCTCGGGCAAGACCTTTAACCTCTGTAAACCTGTTTCCCATGTGTAAAATAAGTTCAACCTACCTCAAGTGACGTTGAGTGTTTCACCCAGCCTGGTAACGCAATCCTTATTCATGATTTTGCCCAAGCAGCCTCCTAATCTTCTGAAGGCCTCTCTGGAGAACTGGAAAGGTTTCTCTACTTTGATGACTCTTTGCACCTTAGGGATCAAGTTGCGGTGCTCCACATGGCATGGGAGCCATTATCACTTATAGGGGACAAAATAAACCATCAAGATCACCATTCCAGTCAGCATCGGATGAGGCCTCCACTCCTCACAGCCTCTTCCCTAATGCCTGTGGTCTGATCTCACAGCAGCAGGCATCTGGCAGCATGCATCCTTCCTAAATTAAAGATGGCAGGTGGGGAGAGGGTTCCTTTCCTTGCATTGTTTCATCGCAGTCAAAAACGCTGCTTCTGGTGTCAGACAGATCTGGGTCAAAGACCAGCTCACTTTTGAGCTGAGTGACTTTGTGTCAGCTGCATAATACT